TATTCTTCCAAGACGCGCTTTCCAGTAGATGGGTAAAAGGATCATACAGTTCGGACTTAGGTAAGTAAGGCAAGGTGTGAATAACTGAGGCAAGAGCCTTTCTCTGCGCTCCTGGACGACGACTGCGGAATCGACGTTGGTGGTTGGTCGGGAGGGCCCGACTGGACCCCACTTTAGATGGGACGTCACCGGGGGTGCTCCGCTCGCTGCTCGGGCCCTCCTCCCCCGCGCCCCGGGCTTCTTACCCCGCGCCGGTGGAGAAGGTTTCCCCGATTTTTCTTTTCCATTCCCGTCCTTCTTCCCGGTCTTCGTGGGCCTCCTTTCTTACTATTCCTCTTCTCCTCGGTCTCTGACTGGTCTGTCACTATTGTCTAATTGTGTTTCCAAGACCGCTATCTGGATCATCCCTGTTCTTCTCCCCCAAATATCCTGCGCCTCTTACGAGGTTTCGAGTCTTCGACGCCGAACCCGCCGCTGGCGCCCCGGCTTTTTTTGTGTTTAGCCGTCCGGGGTCTGTGTTTTGGGGAAGTCATCTCCGCACACTCTCCGCAATCCCTTCCGCACTGGATCGTTGGGGGAAAATCTGGGCGAACAAAAGCTGGAGGGCCTAGGGGAGGAGATTTGAGGGGAGCCACGCATCGTTTTCTGCCCTAGGCAACCAGGCCTAAACCTCATTTTGCGGAGCCCTGGGGCGGTTAAATAAGGTTATCCCATGCTCTCCCAGGCACCGCAGTGACGGCACAATACGGACTAAGATTGAGCGAGATGAACGAAGATTACTCACGAGGTCTACCAACGAGTTTGAAGTCACTTTGGGGAATGGAAGGAATGAAAACGGCTCTTCATATAGAAACGGACTCTACGGGACGACTGCTCCCATTCGTGATTACTATGACTTTCTAACCGCGGGACTCAATTTCCTCTCCTAGTCTCTGCGCATGCAAGCACTCTCACCGCAGGACATTAGACGCAATGCAACCAATGCAACACGACATGTGGCACATGTGCCCGCACCCACTTCCATGACCATTCCCAGCCTCCTCCTGAGAACTGGCCCCCCCATTTCAAAGTCTCCGTACTCCGTACTCTTGTCTAGTTTGCCATACCTTCATATGAGCTCAGCCCGTTCAACAACGCAAGAATGACAAAAACAACAAATTACAAGCTGTTCAAATGACGGAAAAGACCAGTTGAGCCCGAGCGTCAAGACGGAAGCCCTCCGTCAAGCTTTTCCTTGCGTGGTGAGCCAAGCCCGGCCCGGTCGAATCGGTAGGGTTCGCGCCGACGACATGGCTGCTTCGAGGCAAGACGGCCGTTTTCCTTACATCAACCAATCCCATCCCTGCATGCCCGCCGCGAGCCCGAAGCAGCTTTCGTGTCGTTAACATTTCCGCCCACCACCACACTGGCTCACACCCCCTCCCACTGAGAGACCTCGTGGTCTGAGCCTCCTGTTCTTCGCCAGTCGCTGCTGAACCATTTCGTCTGCCCAGAATTGCGGCGACAAAAGCCCAAGAAACCAAGGAATGAGGCGGCCGGGAGAGCGCCCAAGTGCCATACCAAGTCGCTCACTGCCGTCGCAGCCGCCATCCATTCTCACTCGTCGATAACCTCTTCCCAAAAAGAGGGTCTCATCACTAGGAACGCGGATTTCTAAACCGCTTAAACGATTCATTAGTAGCCCCGATTAGCTTGCCTTTCGCCTTCTGGAGAAACTACAGACTCGTGTGAGACATTCCAACAAGAAACTACTGACTAGAATTAGCCTCGCGCCTTATCCCCGTTGCAAAAAACCACCAATCATCTCACCCAATCCAAAGAACCACAGTATAGGCGCACACCATCGCGCCGGGTCGACCTCGCCAGCCGTGCCAACCATGAAAGTACAACCAGAAACCTCCCCAGTTGGAGCTATCGGTTCACACCCTTATTCCCACCTATCTCTTGCGCGCACTTGCTGTCGGTTTCCTCCCGGTTTATCATCCATCACGCATGTGTTCATGTTGTTGCCCCATGGGTCCCCCAGTCGTCGCAACGTTATCCCCCAATCCCTAATCCTGACTCGTGCTGCTCTAGCTATGAACCTGCCCACTTTCTTGTCCTTCTTATCCAATCTTGACTCAAGCTACGGTCCCATGTTCCTCCTTCTCCCCAGATATTGGGGATACACCGCAGAAACGCGGAGTTCTGTGGGGGGGAGAGCGAGCGTATGGGGAGGGGTGGCTGACCAGGCCTTGCCAACTTGCCCTTCCCGCCACTTCGGTCGAATGATGTCCCAAATTGCACCCACTCCTGGACATCTCTCAGTCTCGCCTATTAATCGTCTGGTCCAAGCTGTGATCCGGCTCGCTGAACCATACAGGACCCGGCAAGCCGTCTCCATATCCCCCCCCCCCCCCCCCAGGATACCAGCAGCCTAGGGCCCGTGGGGGTTTGATTCTGGCCTTAGTCTCGTCGTCCCTTTTCGCGGGGGACCGAGATGTGGAACCGGGGGAATGGAGAAGTCCTGCGGTCTGCCTGCTTTCCAACAAGAAATCTTGGGGTAAAAGTGAGGAGGGAATGAGGGTGAGATTCCGGGGTTTGGCAGCCCAGATTGATACTACATCCGGAAGGAGAAAAGGAAGGAATCCCAAGCACTACGGTCCACGGCTCGCTTTTCCCTAACACCTTACCACCACCCATTACCACCCTTTCGGTGGTCCACCCAAGATCTACTCTTATATAGAACGAGGTAGCATCCTCTTCTTCCCATCTATTCCTTTTCCTCTCGTAGGTTGCCCAGCTTCTTCCCTTCCTTTGCATAGGTTAGACAGACTCCGGACCCCAAAGCCCCATCAAGTCAATATCTGAGACCTTTACTGCGTCTCACTCACCTCGGGCCCTCATCGCAACACCAACATCAATCTTCTGTTGCCCCGTCTAACCTGGACAAGATGGCCTCTACCGAAGTCCCCGACCCGGAGGTCGTTCGCCCCATGAGCGGAGGCCCGGGCAAGAAGTCCTTCCACGAAGTCGAGCGCACAATCTCCAACGAGAAGGCCGACCACCAGCGCCTCGAGAACGTCGACAACGAACTTTCAAAGTATGTCGGCGACGGCTCCATCACCGTCTCCAGAGAACGCAGCGACCAACTGCGCAAGATGATTGACAGGCGTGTCCTGGTCATCATGATCGGCACCTACTTCCTCCAGGCCATCGACAAGGGCACAATGTCCTTCGCCTCCATCATGGGTCTCCAGGAGGACACACGCCTCAAGGGCCAAGAGTTCTCCTGGCTCACCACCTGTATCTACATTGCCATCCTCTTCGTCGAGTACCCCCAGAACTACATCATTGCCCGCGTCCCCATCGCAAAGTACCTCAGCTTCTCCATCATCGCGTGGGGCGCCGTTCTCGCCTGCCACGCCGCCTGCACCGACTTCAAGGGCCTTGTCATCGTCCGCACCCTCCTCGGTATCTTTGAATCCGCCTGCCAGCCCGCCTTCGTCATTCTCTCCTCCATGTGGTACCGCCGCGAGGAGCAGGCGTCCCGTGTCACCTACTGGTACATGATGAATGGTGCCCAGCAGGTCGTCGGTGGTCTCCTCGCCTACTGCTTCACCCACATCAAGACCGGGCCCCTCAAGTCCTGGCAGTGGCTGTTCCTGGCCTACGGCGTCATCTCCGTCATCTTTGGCGTCTTCGTCTTCTTCTGGATGCCCGACTCGCCCATGCGCGCCAAATGCTACTCTGAGGAGGTCAAGCGAGAGATGGTTGAGCGTGTCCGCGACAACCAGACTGGTATCCAGAACAAGACCTTCAAGCGTGAGCAGGCCATTGAGGCCCTGAAGGATCCCCAGGTCTGGGGTTACTCCCTCATCGCCCTGTGCACTACTCTGCCCACCTCTGGTCTCGGTGCCTTTGCCAACATCATCATCAAGAGCTTCGGTTTCAACACGCTCGAGGTCCAGCTCCTGGCCATGGTCCTCGGTTTCTACATCATCTTTGTCCTTCTCGGCTCCGTCTGGCTCGTCAAGAAGTTCAACCAGAACCTCTACGTCATGCTTGGCTTCTGTGTTCCGTAAGTCTAGGATTCTCCAGTACATCTACAGTCAGTCACTAACAACCTCGCTAGCTCCGTCATCGGCACCGTCCTCCTCATGACCGTCCCCAACAACACCTTCTCCCAGCGCGTCGGCCTCCTCATCTGCTACTACATCACCCTCTCCTTCTGGTCAGCCCAGACCCTCGCCCTCTCCCTCATCTCCCGAAACGTCGCCGGCCAGACAAAGAAGCAGTTCGCCGTCGCCATCAACTTCATCGTCTGGGCCGCCGGTAACGCCATCGGCCCCCAGGTTTTCCTCAAGTGGGACGGTCCCCGCTACTTCATCGCCTTCGCCACCCACTTGGGCTGCTACGCGCTTCTCATCATCGTCATCATCTGCCTCCGCATCTACCTGTCCCGCGAGAACAGCAAGAGGGATGACATGGTTGCTGCTGGTATCGCTGAGGCGTCGCCCGACTACACTGCCCACGCCTTTGAGGACAAGACTGACAAGGAGAACTTGTCTTTCCGCTATGTGTTCTAAGTATGGGATGCAAGTAGTTGTGTAATCTGTTTATGTAATAGTCAATAATGAAGTTTGGCTTCGTCAATATACCCAATATGTTATGCATTATCTTTGGATCTGTCTTGGTGACCCCGTCAGAGATCAAGCGAGGCCTAGGTGGTCAGGTTCTTGAACAGATAACAACGTCAATTTAAGCTCATTTAGCCTGAAAAAACGCCAAGTAAGTCACTAGTCAGCTCCAACCCCCAAGAGATGCAACACGAGATCTTTGGCCATCAAATTGTCTTGGGTGGCTTGCATCTTTCCTTGGCATTTGGGGGATAGGTACGGTTCCCCTCATCCGTGCCGCTTCTTGCACCCCCCTCCCTAGACTCTCACTCCAAGATTCCCCCTCACGAGGGAAGACAGCTTTCCCTCCCTCTTCCTCCTCATTGCCAAGCTATATGTACCTTACTTCTTGAGAGACTTGGCAACTTCCACATACGAACCCTTGCTGATGTCCTCCAAGATGCCCTGACCTCGAGGGTCCCAACCAAGCTCTTCCTTGGCCTTTGCACCAGACGCCCTATTCTCAACGGACAGGAAGAAGGAAATAGTATCCCCCAGCTGCTCCTTCGCAACCTCTAGGCTGATATCCCTCAGCGGAACATTGACAGCTGCGGCCATGGCCTCAGAAACCTGGAGCGAGGTCACATCTGTCGCTGAACTGGCGTTGTAAATCTCCCCTGCTCGTCCCTTCTCCGCGGCTAGAAGGAAGAGTCGCACGGCATCGTCAACGTGCACATTGGTAGTCCGGTTCTTCCCACCGTCGACGATTGTCACGCCGCCTGTCTGAGCCGCGATACCCATGAACTGCGCAATACCGCTGCCGCCTCGGCCGTAGACGTAGGGCGCTAGTCGAACCGACATGACTCGAATCCCTCTCTTCGCGAGATCCAGCGAGTGGATCTCAGTCAGGATACGGGTGTTGATGGGTTCCGGGTCCGCGGGCGATACCTCGGTAGTCTCTGCGCCTGTAGGATCCGCCGCGACGCAAAGGGACCCGGACGTGACGACGAGAGGCTTGTCGGTTCCGGCTAGAGCATCGGCGATGGCATCGACGGCCGCGGTATCTATAGGTCTAAAGGTCTCATAGGGCTCGCCGCCGAAGACGTAAGCTGTGGCCAGGTGAATGATGATGTCTGCTGCTTTACTTTCGTGGCGGAGGACGTCGAGGGAGGTGAGGTCGCCTCGTACGGATACGGCGCCGAGGTTGCGGAGCTTTGAGTCGCTGGCTTCGTTGCGGGAGAGGCCGTGGATTTGGTAGCCGTCTTTGAGGGCGAGTTCTGTTATAACTGAGCCTACGTAGCCGCTGGCTCCGGTTAGGAAGATACGCTTCTGGGGGGGGGGGGGGGGGGGGGGTTGAGAAGTCATTGATGGCTAAAGAGGTTACGAGGGGGATTATCTGAGGGAGATGCAGCTATGATACGTTGTCGTGGACCAAGATTGAGTATCAGATGCATTCAATGACTCACTTACAAGTTGCTCATACACGACTCTTAAGTACAAAATACGATGGAACCACCGTGAGTTGTTGGATTGCCTCCATTCGCATTCCCTACTTCGAACGGTTCCATAACACGCTGTGGTTGAGTAAGCGAGGCACGGAATTAAGAACGACCAACCATAGTTAATCTCCATACACCCTCGATTGGTTGCCTAATCCGGCGAGCAGTCGATCCTGCAATGCAGCATTCTAGTCCAATTCCAAGGCTGGGGGTGGCATGTAGAAGCTGATTATGAATGCACTGGTGCTGTAGCAAGCCCGCTAAATTGTACCATGGGATCACTCTGGCAAACCTCCAAAGCCTCGGAAGTTTCGACTTGTCCGCCATTGCTCCGATTACCAGTTCAGCCAGGCTGTCGCCGACGTTTTCTTAGTGGCTTGCTTGGTCGGGATTAAGCACGACTTAACCCCTTCTCAGTGCAGGAATTGAAGTCTAGGCGCCAGGGCACGTCAAATCAAAGACGCGCGTTTTGAATTCTCTTAGCATCCTTTCCTTGGAATATCAGAATGTCAATCACGTAGATCTATGGTCCTGCCTTGTCCACGTTAGATGATTAATGTGATGAGGTGTTGTGATTTCTGCATAAAGTGAAATTCAGAGGTCGGATAAGTAGTGAGAATAGAAGAAGAAAATATTTTGTGAGGTGGAGTGATCTCGTCTGGCCACCTTTATCACGCGATTGATGGGATTCGTAGTGATTATAAGGCCTCCTCGTGTTCCCTTTCGACTACCCTATTCATAGACTCTACCAAGGTAGTGCAAGGTACGCCAGGGATGGAATGCCGACGATGATGTTGGTAATGTTTCACCATGAAGATGATGTGATTAACGATTCGTAGCATTACTACATTGGGGAATCCTCTAGAGACTAGGCCGACAAACAGCTAAAAAAAAAACATGAACTCATTGAGACCGAATATCATCACCGAAAATCAGATCTTGCCCGTAACACCAGGCTTGATCGCCTCCAGCTTCTTAACCAACTCATTCCAGGCACGATCTTGCGCCTCCTTGCCCTCCTTACTTCTCACAAACGGCGACGGCTCCTCGATACCGCAGTCAGACATGTACTTGCCGTGCGTATCGGCACCCGAAGACCCCGCATGAACCAGCGTCCTGCTGCCGTACTCGGTCGTGCGTGCCAAGAGAAGCTTCAAGAGCCACAGGGTCCATCCACCGGCGTCGCGTCCCAACTCCGAGTGGCAGAGACCCGGGTTGACGCAGTTGACGGTGACGGGATACTCCGAGGCTGGGTGCATCTCGGCGATGGTCCTGACGCCGAGGACCTCGAGCAGCTTTGAGAGGGGGTACAGCTTGCTCACGGCATCGGCTGAGGCCTTTGCGTTTTCGGAAATGGTGTTGTAAATCTCGCCGTCGGGGGCGGTGCGCTCGTCAAAATTGGTCCAGGCGTGCACCTCGGAGGCGGTGATTGTGAATGTAGGTCTCGTGCTGAACTTGGAAGCGGTCTCCTTGAGCTTGGGCAAGACGAGGGCAGTGAGCAGGAATGTGGAGACGACGTTGACGGTGATGGTGCCCTCCTCCCCTTCCATCTCCTGGAACTTGCTGTGTGCCACGCCAGCGTTGGCGATGAAGATGTCGACGCGCTCCAGCTCGGACTTGACGCGCTCCGCAAACTTTTGGACGTTGGCGTAGCTGGACATGTCGAGCTGCCAGACCTCAATGACATCCTTGCCGCAGCCCGTGGTGGCCTCGATGTCCTGCTTGGCAGCCCGGCCCTTGTCGAGACTTCGGACGGCGATGATCAACTTGCTGGCCCCCAGACGGGCGTAGTGCCGGGCGGCTTCCTTGCCGAGACCCACATTGCTGCCGGTAACGATGATGGTCTTGCCTGCATATGAGCCGGTGGGATACGCCAGGGACTTGAAGAGCTGACTGTAAACGAAGAAGCCCATTGTGTGAGATGTGAGTATGGTGTATAGGATTGATTGAGATGTAGATGATAGTGAAGCTATTAGATTCAATTGTGATGGTGAGAGGGGTTTCTTAATGACATGACGTTGAAAAACGCGTTTGGACGAAACCACTATATACCATGGCCGCTTGCGACCTCATCCCAAGTCTATGACGGAGTTAGCAAGGGGGAGCGGAGACCGCGCGGACCAGTTCCAGATCGCCGGGAGGGAGGGGTCTAACTTTCCAAGTGCTATCCGTAGGTAAGTCGGGACGTTTAGTTGGGCCCGCGTGCCGGGCGCGAGCAACCTTAACTCCATGCCGTGTCTTGGAATAGGCAGTACATACAGTTGTGTCTGCAAGCCCGTGTCTTTGGCTGCTTTGCGGAGTGCTGTGGAGCGCTGCGGACCTAGAAGTCCATTCTGCTGATTGGCTTTCTCATTCAGTTGAAGGGTTTCGAGCTGTGAAATTCAAAACTTGGTCCCTTACCTACGTAGGTGGTGAGCTTGTTTGGAGGTCATTAGGTGCGATTTGAATGATAGCTCAGCACACCTGTCGTCGGCGGAGTTAGCCCGCTACCTAATCGAGCAAATCGCCAGGTGGCCACGGCACCTTCAGACTTCCCGTACCAATCGATACCCACCTCAGGCTACTTTAACATTGGGAATAGTGACTGCTTTGGGTGCCGCAAAAGACGGGAGCATTTCGTGTGAATGACAAAAATTGCTAGGGAACCCTGTTACAAGTCGTAATGATGTCGAATCAATTGGGCTTAGTTGAACGGCTTACTCAACTTCTCACTCAGAACCAACGACAAACGAGTCCTATGAATGGCGTAAGCATCTTTTTTAGGTTATTGGCGTGCCCTCTTGTGTCCTGACACCAAAGGTCACAGCCAACAGCAATCACTCTTCGCAAGTACGAACATCAAGTTACTCATATGTTGATTCAGAGTTGCACATGGTAGAGGAGCTCGAATACTCTCATAGCTACGACGTCACGGTGAAGATGACGGTGCAAACATGAAAATGAGCGGCGCAAGCTGGGTCCCTGCGATTTCACACAACAACCTGGCTGCCAATCCCCGCGATTGACCGTTGCGTGTATGTTGTTCAATTGACCTCATACATACAACTGTCACGAGAACGAACACTTCAAGCCATACATTCGCAGGCAATGCCGTGTAAAAGCTCTCGACGACATTGTTTTGTCGCATGTAAGTGTCCGCGCCGTAATCAGACGGCCGTTGGCCGCTGTAAGCTTTGCTTGTTGTCGTCTCGGCTATTTCTGCCCCGGGTTTAAGCGCCAAATCCCGGATTTTGCGGAGCTGAGCCCTCAAGGCGCCAGTGGCCGTTCCCCTTAAGAACCAAAGTCTCAGCGACGGTGTCCAAGAGGAACGGACAAGAAAAGAGTCCGTCAATCGCCCGCTGCTCTGTTTGGCATGTTTTACGGTGCAACGGTCGCAGAACCTCCGTTGTTGCACCGGTTCTTAAGCTAAGCAGCCACCATCGTCTTACATACCTACATCCTGCATCTCACAATCAGCAATGGACATACACGGTCTTAACAGTGTTTCACCTTTTCATGACTACGGTGATCCAGCTGAAGCCTGGTGATTCTCGAGGTGAAAGGCTTCGTGATGCGGATTTTACGACTATCTCCTCAGTACCCTAGGTCAATGCTGATGAATCCACGTCGATGTTCAAGGTAAGATAGTCACTCGACGTCACGAAAAAATTCAAAATGTTTGCTATATAAACATGCATATTAGGCCGAAGATCGTGAATTATGGTCTCATCAATTCGCGCTCAGAGCAACATCTCCAATGTTGACAGCAGCACTAGACTCAATCATACCACAACACTCAGCTCCCTTCAAAGCAACCACTATTCACAATGTCTGGTTTCCCCGTTCCCGCTTCTCTTCAGAAGAGCCTCGACGCCACCAAGGTCGAATATGTAACCCTGGGAACCTCTGGTCTCCGCGTTTCCGTTCCAGTCCTGGGCGGCATGTCCCTCGGATCCAGCGCGTGGGCGCCGTGGGTGCTGGACGAGGAGGCATCGCTCGAGATCCTCAAGGCCGCCTACGACCGCGGCATCAACACTTGGGATACCGCAAACATGTACTCCAACGGCGTCAGCGAGGAAGTCATCGGCAAGGCCATCAAGAAGTTCAACATTCCCCGCGAGAAGATCGTTCTCATGACCAAGTGCTTCATCTACGTGGGCGAGGAGACAAACCTCCACACGACCATGTTCCCCAACGAAGTGCGCCAGAGCAAGGACTACGTCAACCAAGGCGGTCTCTCTCGCAAGGCCATCTTCAAGGCTGTCGATGACGCCCTGGCCCGCCTGGGGACGACCTACATCGATCTCTTCCAGATCCACCGCTTCGACCCGACGACACCCATTGAAGAGACCATGAAGGCCCTCCATGACCTCGTGGAAGTCGGCAAGATCCACTACATCGGCGCCAGCTCCATGTGGGCCACCCAGTTCGCGCGCATGCAGTTCGTCGCCGAGAAGAACGGCTGGACCAAGTTCGTCAGCATGCAGAACTTCTACAACCTCGTCTACCGCGAGGAAGAGCGCGAGATGAACCGCTTCTGCAAGGAGACGGGTGTCGGTCTTCTGCCCTGGTCGCCCCTCTATGGCGGAAAGCTGGCGCGGTCTGTCAAGGCCGAGAACACCAGCATCCGATCTCAGGGCAAGGGTCCGATGAATCCTGATCTCAGCGAGGCGGATGAGAACATCATTCGCAGGGTCGAGGAGATCGCGGAGAAGAAGGGATGGAGCATGAGCCACGTCGCGCTCGCTTGGATCCGGTACAAGGGCGGGGTTCCTATCACCGGCTTCAACTCTGTCAAGAGGATTGATGAGGCATGCGAGCTGCGTGGCAAGACTCTGACGGATGAGGAAGCCAAGCACCTAGAGGAGCCTTATGGCCCCAAGAACATTATTGGCCATGACTAGACATTCACGTAGCAACTCACCAGTAGCACTCAATTCCATGTATTTGCTTTAGCAGATGAGGCGAGCGCTCACTCGGATATGCAATTTGATTCTGAGTTGAAGCTCGAGGCCCATGACACCATCCACTATCCCCAAGTTGCAGATGTTGAGGCTTGTGAACTTGATTGATTCCAAAAGATCAGCCTCTGGCGAATATGTACTGTAATTCCCTGACATGTACATTTAGCTTCTTCCTACCGAGGTGTCTGTCATCAAACACCACCCGGCGCATACTCCCTCAAGGCCTTGGCCATCGGGCCAAACGCTGCCCCCTCAAGCACTGTCTCGCTCGTCCTCCAGCCAAGAGCCCATGGCAATCTCTCTTCCACGAAACTAGCATTGATCCAGTCCCTCCTCGCCTTCCCATCCTCAACACTCCCTCCAAGGGCAGCCAGAAGACCACTCATCTGCTCAATCGTAGCCGCGACACCAGAGTCATCAAGCACAAACTCTGGAGTCTCCTTCCTTGCATCCTCGAGTCTCGCAGCACCAGCCTCGGCAGCTTGCTTCCATGTAACGAGTTCGTCAGGCAACCTAGCCACAAAAGAGTTCCAAATGTTCCTGTTGAACCGCAAATTATCACACAGGGCAAGGTCCCCACGACTCAAGCTCCCGTCGTGATCCAGTGGCTTCTGCGCCAGATCGTCGAGGTGGAAAGTTCCGTTCACACCTGTGGTGGAGTACTTCAGCGCCGCGGGGACAGGACCCGCTGACACGGCGCGGGAGAAGTTGAAGGCTTCCATCTGGGCTACCGTGGCGCTTTCGCTTGAGATGAAGGCGCCGTCGCGGTTGATGTAGCCGTGGTTGGCGAGGATGTTGAGCGCTGGGCATGGCGAGCGGCGATCGGTTGAGGTTGGGGGGGGGGGTGTATGGGTGCTCTGGGTCCTCGTACTGGGCGTTTGCGAGGGCAGCTAATAAGAGAAATGCCACGCTTGAGAAGATCTGAGAATGCATGATGGCTTGTATCTACTGTCGAGAGTAGCAGATAATGAAAAACAGATGCTAAAGAGTGGCCGTTAAAACCCCCTGATTTCACGCGGTGGGCAGCTCGACTGATGCTCTCTGCATTCAAAGCTTCACAAGTCCGTTGGAAGACTGAATCACCTCCTGTTTCTTGTACTTGTATTCTTCCTTTGTCGTGGGCGGTAAGGCACGCCGCACAATCCTTGACCAACACTAAAACGCTTCGCAGATGGGGTCGTGGAGCCGGCTGGTAGGCGTCCACAATGTGAAATAGGGGAAGCGACATTGGCTGAATGATTTCTTCGAGGCTTGATAGAGTTTCGATTCAATCTCGGGTGAGTATTCCTGGTGCTCGGCGGCTCCGGCATAACCGCAGTTCTATATCTTAATCGAGTTTCGGTTACCCTGTAAATGCGGCCTTCGACATCCCAGTACCTATAGCCGAGTTGCATACTCGCCGCTATCTTTCTACTTCGCTCGAAGAACCCGTCCAGAACTCCCTGTATTCGGTGAATCTACCTGTACATATTTCCCATCATTGATGTTGATAAGCAAGTAATTCCCTCTCGATAGCTAGCGAAAGCCCGCCATCGTGGGTATGACGAATGAATGGGTTCACATGTTGCCCAGGATGTTGGTACAATTTTATTCAGGCTCTAAGGCCCAGAAGAAGAAACAAGAAAGGCTGTTCAGCTCAAATCATCGTTATTCGTGATTTCGTAGTCTGCTGATGGTCCCCTACCCAAGAGAACTTGATGAGAGTTTGACAGCCCGGCAGAGGGAGTTTGGAAGCCCCTCTACAATGTTCGCATGAAACCCAGGCAATACCGTCACCTTAAGCAAGGTAGTGCAGAGTTACTCAATACTGTATTATAACCCATTTGCAGACAATCGCCTTGGCAGAACTTTTATAGAAAGTCAAGAAAGCCTCAAACGTTGCGTGGTTTCCTGTAAAGCGTCCCGACCATCCATTCGGGTGTCATTTTCTGTGCAAAGTCGCGGGGATACCGTACTCCATCATCATCGACGTAAACTGTCGCTTCTCCAAGACCTAGGTCTATGAGGTGATCTTGGGCCGTCTTCTTAGTCGAATTGCTCCTTTCAAGTACATCGTCAAGTCTCTCTCCAAAGCCCTCAACTTCAAACCCGCGCAGGCTCTGATCGTTGATGAATTCTGGGAAACCCAAGAGCAGTCTTCTGACAAGAGGCTCACAGAAAAGTTTCGAATCTTCAGGGCTGATCTCTCCGTAGAACCTGGGCGGGCCGAAGCCGCTGCTCTCTAAACAGACAATGCGAACTTCGGACTGACCGTAGACTCTACGACTTCTGTCCAAAATCTCCATAAGCTGCTCGGACTACTGGTTCAAGCTGAAATCTAGAGTGCGATATTTTGCGACTGCCGAAGTAACTAGAATAGATGCTGGTAGAACAACATGAATGGTCCAGTAAGGTCCACTCAGATCATGGGGGAGGTTGTCAAAAACAATATGCCCATGATGGAGACTAAAATATAATGAGACTAAGACCGTCTGATGAAAGTTCGCATTATGATCTGAGAAGCATTGCAGAGTGTGTAGGTAAGAGAGCCACATTTCGCGATTTCCGACTCTCGTCACCGTCTCTTTGACGAGAATTAAAGAAAGTGGGGTCACGAACACTCTTGGGAGAGTTATACTTATGTGTCTTCCGTTTGGATCAGCCCCCTGCTTGAGAAGCCTAGCAATCAGATGGTTGCTTTGGGTGTGAGGACTGCGAAGCGTCCACGGGGGGTAAGTCGTGTAGATGCATGTATTAAACAGAAGCTTGGAAAGGCATTCGGGCTGACAGCCGATGTCTCCCCCAGCAGACAAAGCAATTTCTGTTAAACCATAGGTTGCAGCTTTTGAGTAGAAATCCATCCGTGAAAGGCGGCCGAAAATGTTGGTTGGGTAGTCGCCAAAAGACAGAAGCCGGCCTGATCTACTCAGCCGTTGACAAGCTTCTATAAGTACCATCCAATCTTTGCTCTGATAATCTGGACGATCTGACTCATGCGTAGTTTTGTCTCCAATACAGTGGATGTACCGAGAAACCATACTGCTCCAGACGTATCGTGGGGAACCTACAACGTGCACTTTGATCAGTGCCAATTGGCAGCATGCGACCGAGGCACAGATGATTTGACGTTGAAGCTCTGACTTTGAGAACCTGCAATGACTCATGATCTCTTTCCCTTCAGGCGTATCTACCAGAAAGTCATACGCACTGCGGTGTATGAATTGGAAAGTCTGCAAGTCTGCAATAAGAGGCATCAGTGCAGCGTATTGCTCGCCATCCCACAGGGTTGCCTCAACCGGCTTTCTCTCTTCATAAGGCTCTCTGTGCAAGCCCAAAGCTCCCGAGTCTTTCCGCTCCAGAAGCCCGGCGTACATTAAGGGCACCTCACTTTCGATTCTCTGACAAGCCGTGATGAGGACACTGGGCTGGACTATGTGACTTGGCTCTTCGAGAACACGGTCTGCCATCGATGTCGTTATCAGCATCACATCAAACACATTAAGACTGGTTTTGAGGCTAAGCGTGTTCGGCCAATTAAACCTTTGACCGGAAATTACTAGACCGAAATAAAGAACAGCTTTCTCGCGGTAGAGTGGCTGATCGTCATTCAACCTAGTCCACATGTCGTTGTACAATTTGCTGAGACTGGTGGGCAGGCTCTGTATTCTTTGCTGCAGATCGTCTGAGTTGTTTCCGTGATCTTACCCTCGATTCGAGCTTTTGATGGCTAGGCAGAGCCAGAGAAAAACGCCTTCAGCCTTTTCGACAAGTAAGTCTATCGGTTCCCCAGGCTGTCCCCAGCTGTCCCACATCTTGAATATAGGTGGCAACTTGGTATGGCTCTGGGCGTATATTCGTAGATCATTACTCGTAAGGTCTTGAAAACGGATGGACGGATAGCTGCCGTATCCAAGTTCTTCTCGATGAGATACTCCGGACGACTTGCAACACAGATTTTAACGTTTTGGATGGTGCCCAAACCATGTATGACCTCTAGGAGCCGCACCACACCATCGTCGGGGCTAACTTCATCTAGCCCATCTAAGAAAAAGCAAATGGGTCGATGGTATTGCTCGACTGCGTCGAAGCATAGCTTTTGAAGTTCCCCGGTAGACCAGTCTGTGTCTGAGTCTTTGTGTCCACCCGATGGGGCGCTGGAAATAGAGCGGTCAAGGGCAGAGACCTCATTCCCAAGAAGTTGATGTAGCAGAGAACAGAACATACCCCTGATGCTCTGTTGCATTAGACTTCCTGGACGCCAGAAGAAGTGCGAGACCAGAAGCACCCCAGGACTCCACACGTTGAGCGCGCTTTTGGTTCGTGGGTCTGATATGATGAATCTCATCAGCGTGGACTTTCCCGAGCCAGGTTTGCCACCGCACCAGAAGATAGAGCTGCCAGATTTTTAACCAGTCGATAAAAGAGTCCCAGCGGGTGTTGCCATCTTGGGGTGCAACCCCGTTCTGCCCGGCCGAGCCATATGTCCCGTCAGGGGAATTATCCTGTGAGCATCCACTGCGTTCGGACCCCTCACTTTCTGTGCTTGTATATTCTGATTCGTCGTCAAAATCTTCGAGAACCCCTTTTTCGTTTGTAAAGATCCACTCAAAGGTGCCTTCACATGATTCGCCCACTTGATTACGACGCTGGTTCATTCCCGTGAACTTGAAGCTGCGAAGGAAGCGTCGACGCTTAGCCTCTCGGTCTCTGGCAAAGCTCAAAGCTTCCACAGCAGTTGAAACTTGCTGATTCGAGTTTCGGATCGTCTGGTCAAGTTGTGCAGACTGCTGATCTACTATTAACTGAATCTGAGCTGTCGCCTTTTGTGACTCTTGGGTGACGTGGCTGCGTGTCCTGAACATTTCTGTGGAGATCAGGTCAGATGTGTCTCTGTGACCTTGTTGATATTGCTGCAGGAAATGTTGCAGGTTGATGTCGAGTGACTCCAAGTCAAGTTGCATGGCATCAGCCTTCTGACTACGAGGAAGCAAGAATTATTAGCTTGAAAGGCGGTACACAGAGGAATTCAGGCTCAATAAACTTACCATATTCGCGCAAGAAGACCACTCTGCATCAGCCTCTCGGCATCATTCAGCTTTCTTTCCATGGTGTCAAGCCGTCGCTTTCGCCAGTTGGCCTTGGTAGCCACTTTGTTGGTATCCCTATCACAGGGAAATTAGTTCGAACCGTAGGGTCCTGGGGGTGACGAAGTATCAATATCTCTGTATTGATTGATTCTGCGTAAGGAGTAAAAGGGAGATTCCAACCGGAGGTTGGGTGGGCAGTCGAGGTCTAATTGTACTCCCTCGAGGTGGCCAATGCTCTGCCCTTACTCGCTGTCGAATTGGACTTCCAATCCGACACACTTTGATAGTCCCAGCAAGGCTCCCCTTCTTCTTGTGACCGACAACGAAAGCAATCTCTTCCGTCAAGTCTCATGCGACAGCCTGGCAATTCTTCGCGATCTCGAGCAGCTGGTGCTCTTGCTTTGTCGGGTTCTTTGGAGTTTCTAGAGCCTGGACAAATGATGCGAGTTGAGCGAGGTCCTTCGCATTCGCCTCGAGGGCGTCGTCGACGGAGCTATCTCGGTAAACGCGCTTGACTAGGCTCGACGTTTCGCGGCCGAAGCTGATGACTTGGAAGATGTTGCAGGCCAGGCCGAGAGCCTCGAGGCCTGACATGTTGGCGGGGTTTCAGTTGCATTCCACCGGGCCAAAGTAAAAGTGAAGTCTCGATAGCTACGTGTTCTGAACGGTCTGGCTGTCTTTGGGGATACTAGATCAGATAGCAATAATGACAGAGGATGAGGGAGGGGGAGTCAGGTACAGACGTGGTAAGGCCGCAGGAGAGGGCAGATAGCTCGTCGTTGGAAGTAAGAAGAGGGGTAGATTCTGCCCCGTCGCCCAGCCTGCATGACCCAGCCACATTCGGTAGTACAAATCACCAGATTGGACACAGCCTGATGTGAGGCAGCGAATTACGAACTGAGGTTCGCCCCATCCGGATTGCCCGACGTGAAAGATAAGTTGCATCTAAGCCAGGGGTCTTGCACTCGACCAAAGTCCGAGGATATATGTATCTAACGCCGTTCTGTAAGACATCTGGTTGCCTAGCTGCTTTCTGCGACAGTATTCTTAGATTCTAGAGAAATGTGTACAATATGGCAATATGGCAGTTCAACGTTTGCATCTTGATCCGCTGATTGTCAGACTATACATGTATCAGTTAATACACAGATATATTCTTCAGCCAGCTTCGGGCTAGCTAAATGTGTTTAAGACCATTTCGAATTGACACTACTCAACTGCGACCAAGCTATAAGTATGAAGCATGTATTAACATGACTGTTTGGAAACTCGCTAGGCTGGGCTCTATTGAAATCTCTTTGGATATGGGTGCTAGTTCCAACTATTGCCCGTAAGTGAGAGCCCGGGGCCCTAGACCTTCACAGAGAAGCTCTAATATGGGTTTGATCATGTAGTCTTTGAGCTAGGTCTTTCTGATTGAGCATCTCGGTGCGAAGAGCCACCGCAAAAAGCATCCATTGTTGGGCTCGCGGCACTTGTCTTAAGACTCAAAGGAATATGCAGGATTGGGCATGAAGTTGACAATGATCAAGAGGTGTCAGAGACAATATGTCTTGGGCTTGATTATAGCTGGAACAACAGTCATGGAATGACATTGAACTCGGGTATTGGCATTGCTAAAGCTGAAACTTGACTGCTGTTCTGAAGTTGCAGTCGTTCTGATATCTTCAACGGCCTCGATTCTTTTCTCTCTGAGCCATGTGCCTGATTGTTCCTTAGGTACACAGACTCAGAAACGCCATGAAGTCTTTTCAACGGGCTGCATCAAAACTAGCTGTATTTCGACATACCCCACACTGATAGAATAACTTGAAGACATTTACGATAATGAGGAAACAGGGTGTCGGCACTAAGTAAGAGGACCAGAGGACGTATTGATTATACAATACTGAGTGGCACTCTGAAACGGGCTCATCATATCTGAGCATGATCTAGGCTTCTAGACTGTCCGTGAAGAATAGCACTGACTGCTGCTGTTTAATTGCATCAATCTATGATACTAGAAACAACTGTCGACATCCTACCGGTGAGAAGCAAAATACATCCAAAGTCAGGCCATAATAACTACCTTAATTCAAAACTCTACTCCGCGAACAGCAAGGCCTCAGGCGAAACGCGAAGACTTCAAAATGCAAGCTGCATGACATGTAACCTCACCCAAGACCATTCACCACTCCCAAACACTACTTTATTCAAGTAAACCAAGCCACCAAAACCTCGTATCGTTAATTCAACCATAAAACAAAGCATCTCACTGCCCATTGCCATCACCGCCAGCACCAAAAATGGCCGATGCCAAGAGCCCTCTAAATGGGTGACACATTGGATTGCCGCCCAGCACAAAGCACCTAGCTCTGTTTCTATTCTTCCTATCATTAACTTTTCTATTATCATTATTATTTCCGTCGAAAGAAGTATGAGATAGTTAGATGTAATAATAATACAAATAAAAATAGTTAGTTAATAATAATAATATTAATAATAACTAACTAGTAGTAGTTAATAGGAATAACAGAAAGAGAGATGGGGAGAGTATTGAGCGGCATCCCATTTTGTCACCCACTTGCCCTCCAAGCCCTTGCATCATTCACCACTTTTAACCGACGACTACCGGCAGCAAAACGGGGGCCGGAGTCCCGAACCAGGAGTGTTAGGCAAACAAGGCAAAGGTAAAGCAGTTAGACCAAAAGCGCCACCCGAACAGATGGCTGCGGCCGAGCCGATTCAGAAAAGTCGTGGTTGCCATTGGCATCGTCAATGAGCTGCTGTGTTGCTGAGAGCGCTTACGGCAAGCTCTTAAAAAGGTGTCACGGGATCATTGAGAACGCAGCCAAGTTATGGAATCGTGTAAGTTAGTTCAATTGGCAACTCCTCTGATCTTCAAAGGCCTGCAACGAGTAGATTGAAAAATTGGACTATTCTAAACATTGATTGGGAATTGATTTACAAAAAAAAACTAGTTACCTTGTTCTAGCTCTCGGAGTGGCGGGAAAGAATCTGCACCGTACACTAACAGACACCAACCCCGCAATCGAGAAACGACCACGCCAGAAGCGTCTTGTTAGCCCGACGACCAGACAAAGGGTGCTTCTGTAGTGTCAAACCCTCGTTTGGGACTTGGAAGTCGGCGCACACTCGCGCGTGACCTAATTCTTTGTGAAGAATGGAGAATGCTTATGCTGGCGAGGCTGTGTAAGAAGGATAGAAACACGGGTCCAACCACTTGGTTTGCCCGTCTGTCGCCTGTGAAACCTGAGGAATCCTAATGAAGAACTAGGAAGGCTTTGGCAGTCCAAGTCTTTCTGCGGCTCTAAGAACCGAAGCACGGCCATTGGATGGTAGCAGAAGAATCGGGTGGCTGATCCTTCGACCTGTGCGCTTCTAGCTGGCAGGTGACAAGCCATGGGGTGTTTCGATTGGCTTGATCCTTCAATAGCTCAGTTCTTCTGCAATTGAGCACCTCGACTTGGCGCGTTGCGGCGCTTTGATGGCGGCTACCCCAGATCTGCATTGTCTCAATGATCGAACCAGTCATCACGACAAAGAGAACCTCAACCCCGCGAGCAGAGAGACGGTAAGCTGGAAGGTGGGTGGGATTGGCGGGAGGCAAATGTAGAGTACCGTAGCGGCACTCGGATAGAGGGTAACGTAGCGGTGCGGCATTGCGGAAGGCCAACGGAGCCGGCCGCCGGTCGAGATCAGTCCATGGCGAAGGTGTTAGTCAACAGCTCCCGTTAGTCCTCGGGTTGGTGACAGGTCAGTGACGACTACAAATTCCGAGGTTCATTGGCGGCGGTGCCGGACCTGGCCACGGCTGCACCTGACTACGACGCTAGAATCCGGTGGTTCGGATCCATTCACACTACCTATCGATCGTTAGCTTTGGCAGCCAAGAGGACGGGCATTTGGAATGGGGGAAGAGACAACGATCGTGCGTGCACGGCGCCAGAATCATCAGCCAACACCAAAGACTCGGGTCGACGTCGCCACACAAGGGCCCTGCGACTCACGTGTCCCGAGAACTCGGGATGGGCTGGGGATGGCCTGGTTGCTGGGATGGACGTGCAGCGTACCGTAGCCTGTGCTTTTCTTGTGTTCATGGCGGCCCCGTGCGAGCCAAACAGCGGACGAACTTCAGGTCCGAGTCGAGACCACGTGATGAACATCGTGTGAGTTCACGGTTCAGGCTGTGTCAGCAAGTCTTCAGCAGAAATCTTGGGGGTGATTTTTTTCCTTGGAAGTGTCCACAAAGGGTAGCAGGGGTGTTTAATGATACGTTCTCCGCAGTGGAGAGAGAATCTGGAAGTTCGTGATTTGTTGGAGAGAAAAATCCTTTCGAGCGGAGACCGACACCGTGCCCGCGTCCGGAGACCCCGTGAAGTGACAGAGTCTGCGGTGCGGTGACAATCTGTCGGTCTATTCGTACCGGTCTGGCGGTTTGTAAGCTTGCTCGTATCTGTAGTTCAAGTTCCGAGACGAACGGTGCGTCAGAGTTCAGGCAGCCGGCGAAAACGCGGTCGTTTTACCAGTTTCCCATGGGGAAGAACAAAGAGGAGCTCTGGAGAGAAGCACGAGGGCGGTGGGCTGGGGAAAAAGAATCGAGACCAAGCCCAAACTCGGCCGAAAGCCGAGGCGATTGAAGCACTGAAGCAGGCAAGGCAAGGCGATGCGCCAGTGTTGACAGGCCGCTGTCGTGATTTCGGGGATGGTTGAATGGGGCCGTCATCAAAGACGGGCCGATATCACGGCCGTGACAGGTAAAAGTAAGCACCTGGGTACGGAGGCCGACCAGGGATGCCTCGGAAGGCACCCACTGGCGACAGGCGCCGGGGGGGAGGGAGCCCAAATCTGGAGTGCCTGGAGGGAAAACTTGTTGTTCATTCGGACTTTGGACCCTGTTAACAGCAACACACGCTGACTCGGGTGGGGTGGTGGTACGACGTGACTCTTTCGATTATAGGCGGTGTCTTCGTACGGCTGCTTCGTACGGCTTGTAAGCTGGACTATGAGCGCGGAGCCCCGAAAGCACCCGCGGAATCAGACGAGCAAGCGCGCGATCTGGCGGAAGCAACGTTGTAATTGGTTACCGGCTTCGTCAAGCTGGAGATATGGGGTTGCTTGGAGACCCCGATATCTCCAGGCGGAGAGAAACAGAGACAGACGGCGTCTGAAAGTGCATGTGAGGCGATCCACAACGGACAGGAACTCGGCCAAATTGGACACCAAGACGAAGTGTCTACCATAGTAGGCTCCGAATAGAGGGATCTGGAGGCAGTTAGCGCATCGAGTACGACCGAGCATTGTCCCATTTGGGGCCGGGGCCGGGGGATTGGAGGAGAGATGATGGGGGAAACTTGGGGGAGGGAAAAAAAGTTGGATGGGATGGGGAGAAGTTGGGGGAGAGCGCGGAAGTGCGGGATGAAGATGGGATGGATTGAAGGGGGTTGCATCCATCTCATGCAGTCCGGATAGCGAGATGCAGAGGCTAGCAGAGCTACTGTGGTTGTAAGTTTTGGCGAGGTTGAATGGCCCGAATAGCTTCAACATAACCGTCTAGGCGAGTTCGATTGTAGGTGTTGACGCCTGAAGATGGCTTAGTCGAGCCAAGAACAGTCAAGCGAGCTTCAAAACGTGTAGGTAGAGAGCTCCAGCGTACCCGTAAGGCGTTGCAGCCTCTGGTATCCACGGATAGGGAGAGACGTGTCGGAGGGCTGCAGGAGAGCATGCGGGAGAGTCCTTGGGGCTCCAACGTTGCGGCTTGGACTACCTAGGGTCGCCATCAGGATCGGGATCCATAGGTGCTTGTCTGTACGTACTCCGTACAGCGTCGACATGTGCCCATCTCATCACGAACGAATGACCTGGCGGGTGCCGGCGGCTGAAGAGACATGGCGCTGAACCAGATGGTCCGTTGAACGACGGCAGTGGAGATGTTTGGCCAGGGAGCGACAAGGGAAGAAAAGCCACACGGGCGCCTCGTGTCTCGATTGCTGACAGTAGAGACAGTTATCGTGATGTCTGAGTCCAGCCGCAAATTCATCATCCAATCTCATCGCATCGTGTCGCAAAGCATCGCCAGTCACCAGGGGGGCTGTTGCAGAGGCACGGATGGAAGATGGGCCTGAAGTCGGACACAGGCCGACTGCGCGAGCGAGTTAGTGATCCATCTATCCAATTACCTGACTGAGAGATGCGCCGACGTGGAAGGCTGCGAGCAAGTCAAGGCAATACATTGCCAATTCCCTACGAAGACTTTCTTCCTTCTCGGAAGGATGACGGGGCAACAGGGACCGGGGTCTCTGGGTGTGTCATGTTTTGGGATTTGACATCTGGGCGAATCGGAGGGAGGAACCGGTGGCTCATCAGACCAAGACTTTTAAAAAAGCCTGGGGAGATGTGGGAAAGAAGGGAGGCAGCGGAGCCAATGAGCGCCACACAAAAGTGGCCGGGGAAGATACTTCGGTACTTGGCAGTACGTATCCTGAAGATTATGGACTGTCACCAACTGGCAAGAACCAGCGACCGGTTGACAAGAGCCAGACCGACTGGACCTGCCCCCGGGACGGCGCTGCACGCTTGTTGCCTGCCTCTTCGGCGCTTCTATGGCGCTTTCCCCAAGTCCCTCTGCCAAAAGTCTCCAGTCTGCTTCTCCACGGGGCACCTTTTGTCAATGGAATTATGGAATTATGGAAATTCCTTACTTTTAATTGTTGGACCATGGCTGTGACAGATCCACCGGGCCTTATTCCCACGGGACAGGTTCATGTCGGATAAAGAATACCCCTCGGGGACCCCACCAAACGCGGGTGAAAGTAACCCGAATGAAGATAATCGGGAGTTTTAGGGGAGTAAACTCTGACAGTCTCTTGCTGTTCGGCTGTTTGTTGGTGAAAATTCTGGAATTGCATGAAGCGATCGTGAGATTCAGGAGGTCATCAAACGTAAGCAGGTAACCGCATACAGCCAAACACACACCAAAACCATGTCAACGGTGACGATGACTTGGCCAGGACCGCTAGGTAAGAAAAGGAGAGGGCATGTCATCACTGGACCACGGCCACCGGGCGCTTGGCCAGAAACGGGCGCATTTCATCAAGTCTGCCGTTGTCTGCTAGCACTGCTGCATGCCTGGCCCATGTCCGCCATCGCCGCTTTCCTTCCCTTCCGCGTTCCCCTCCCTGCGGCGTAGAAGATTAGTGCCGTGTCGATGACATTCTTGGGCGTCCTCTCCTCTGGTCTACCATCTGGCAAGCAAACTCTGGAGTCTGGAGCAGCGCGTCTTGGTATGCAGATTATCGCTGCATGAGCTCGGGGCCAAGCTCGGCACGTTCAGGCTTGGCGCACAGCTGGCCCCCTCCCCCGCCGCACTCCTGCGCGAGCCATGGGAGGGAAGTGTCACGCATCTCCAGACTCCCAGGACTCGCTACATACAAGCCAGGGTTGCGGGCGGGCAATTCGTCTATTCGGCGCTTGTTACGATGCAAGCGATGAAAGTATATCGAACTACTCTCGTCAGGATTGTCAAATGACCTCGAAACAACCGGTCCGACTACGTGACACTTTCCGCGTTTAGACTTTTGGGATTCCAGCGCATCGTTTTCAGTGTGCAGGGTGTATTCAATTAGACATCTTGCACTCATGACATTGCCACCAGAGACAGACGCGCCGAGTCGCGACTCGGAATCTCTAGCTGTCAGCCTGTAAGAAATCCAGCAGCACTCAGCAGCCGAGGCCAACCGTTCATCTGGTCCGTTTGCTTGATCTCCACTTGACAGATTCTCTGTCAGACCCGAGAACCCGAGCCGAAGAGTCGAAGTCGAGACCGGACCCAGATCAGCAGAGCCCCAGTGCCTTTTTCTATCGATTTTCCTTCATCCTGTTCCAACACGAGCCTGGATGGAAGAACATCAGGTGAAAATAGCAGCAGTTGGACACGAAGGGGAAAGAAACCGTGTCGTGTCCCGTGCCCACGCTCTTGTCCGGCGCAGCGCACTGCCAGAACATGGGCGAACAGCAGAGCCGGGAGCGGTCAAGGGTCTGGATCGAGCCTAGCGTCGATTCATTAGTAAAAAAAAGGGTGACCAAGTCTCCAGGGCCCCGCCCCGCAAAACGCCACGCGACGGCGAGACAACGGCGAAATCCATTTCCCCAGCTTTTTTTTTTCACTTGGTCTTTTCTGCTTGGGGCATTTTTTGGGGGGCCTTGGTGCTAGGGAAAGAACCCCCGTGACCTGGTGGCTGCGCTCTCCATGTTGGGCACGAAAGGGGGGTCCCCGGGGGGCCAGACAGCTGAAGACTGGAGTCCCTGGGCCAGTGTGGTCTCCCCCAGTTATTGTTCCCCAGTGGCTAATTTTCACCTCCAATTCCAATAATCGCGTGTGGTAACGTTGGTTTTTTTCCCTTTGATTTGTCTTCCCCTCCAAGTTTTCCAAATGTTTAGCGCTTGTAGTGGACTGCCGGTTCTCGCGCGCCACTGACGAGTCAATCTGTCCACCAAAGGTAGTGGTCATCGGCCGCTAAACTACTCTTTCACCCCTCCGTTGCGGTGATGACTAGCGAGGCCGTGTTCAGTCCAGATCTGCCTGGAATTGATGATCTGATGGTTTGGTCCACCAGGAGTCATTGATTTCTTACCAAGTGGACGCTGCTCTCCTCGATTTCCAATTCGTTTCTATCCATGTACCTTTTGTATGTGTTGCGCAGGCATTGAGTACAGCTGCATTCCCTTTTGTTAAGGAATCGCTCGTTCCTTCCCGCCCATCTAGCTTACCTTTAAGGTAGGTAACTCGTCGGCTCCCGTGGCAGGTGCCCAAGCCGACGGGAGTCCCCAAAGTCAATGCAATTGGGAATGTCCCCTTGTCGCCGTTTCCCCAAATGTTTGTATACACATTGGCAGCAATTGAATGTCCAAACAGACAGGACACATTCAACTTGAAGTGCTCATTGAGCTCTGTGTATTCATCTTCGTGGCTGGAGAGCAAGTACGATCACAATGGCACCTTAAGGTATCGTCAGGTGAGAGTGAAGAACCAAGAAATGGAAGGAAGAAATAAAAGTACCTTCCTACCCAAGGACCATTGTGTGAGACGGGAGGTACCTCCCACATCGCGCGCTAATACAGACAGGGAGCAGTTCCTTCCAAGTCACTATTCGTTGTATCCGTCCGGATACCTCCCAGTCTCTCTCTCTCTCTCTTCCATTTTTCATGACTGTTTGACTGCCACCCTTGTCGTCCTTCCTTCCCTCCTTCCCCGTGGCCTGCCCGCCCCGCGGCCCCTTCCCAACTCGTCGGGAGTCCCCTTCCCACCCCCCCTCGTACCTTCTTCACAAGTTCACACCCTCCCCCTCCCCCTTCCCCTCGACCTCCACGCCTGCCCAAGAGTTATCGGCCCTATTAAGCATGAGCTAGCAGGAGCTCCAATATGGGGACGGCTAACCAACGGGGCTAACCCAATGGGAGCTCGTCCTCGATGAACTGTGACCTGCAGACCCTCGGAATGGGGAGATGAAGCACCACACACACTCACACAAAACACTCCTCCTCACCATCTGGCTGCTGCTTCGTCCATAGGCATAGCGTACGGAATAGGTCTTCATCGACAACACGGCAGGCTGCTCTGCTCTGTCTGAGTCTGACTGACCCATTTGCATCGGCCTGGCCTGTCGTCCCATTCTCATTCGAATTCCAGACTCGAATTTTTGGTGTCACACACCCCCTCCCCTGGTCTCCAAATCCACCCCAGTTCTCAGTCCCCAGTCCATCAGTCGGTACTACCACACACACACCCACGCCAGACAGGCGGACTGACACGGACGCAGCTGCGTGGCATTGCCTTTGCACCTTCCTGGACGTGACACCAAGACTGATAAAAGGTCCTCGTCTCGCCCTCACTTTCTACTATGCTCCTCTTCCTTCCTCACGAGCTTCCTCGCCAACAACTCTCCCGACAAGCTTCCTCTCGTCCTCCCCTTTCCCACACAATCAGCTCGAATCATCGCCAAGCTCCCGAGGCGAACAACATCAGCAACAACCTCCACAATGGAGAAAGAAACCGGCGTTACGCGCGAGCCCGTCCAGGGCCTCGCCGTCACCGACAATGTCGACCAGATCGAGGCTCCCGTCACATGGAAGGCCTACTTGGTCTGCGCCTTTGCCTCCTTCGGAGGTATCTTCTTCGGATACGACTCCGGGTACATCAACGGTGTCCTGGGTTCCGTCAACTTCATCGAGGCCGTCGAGGGCAAGGGTGCTACCGCCATTGGCGAATCTGACACCTCCCTTATCGTCTCTATTCTCTCCTGCGGTACTTTCTTCGGTGCTCTCATTGCTGGTGACGTAGCCGACTGGATGGGACGCAAGTGGACTGTTATTCTCGGCTGCTTCATCTACATGATCGGTGTCGTAATCCAGATGATCACTGGTGTCGGCTCTTCCCCTCTTGCTCCCATCGTCACTGGCCGTCTCATTGCTGGTATCGGTGTGGGTTTTGAGTCCGCTGTTGTCATTCTGTACATGTCTGAGATTGTGAGTATACCTGCTTCCTTGCGGATACCCAGCGCAATACACTAACGCCACATCAATAGTCTCCCAAGAAGGTTCGTGGTGCTCTCGTCGCCGGTTACCAATTCTGCATCACCATCGGTCTTCTGCTCGCTGCTTGCGTCGTCTACGGCACCAAGGACCGCGCCGACACCGGCGCCTACCGCATTCCCATCTCCATCCAGTTCCCCTGGGCTCTGATTCTTGGAGGTGGTCTTATGCTGTTCCCCGACTCTCCCAGATACTTCGTCAAGAAGGGCAGACTCGCCGATGCCGCCGCCTCTCTTTCCAAGCTTCGTGGCCAGCCCGAGAACTCCGAGTACATCCAGGTCGAGCTTGCTGAGATCGTCGCCAACGAGGAGTACGAGCGCCAGCTCATTCCCTCTGCCACTTGGTTCGGCTCATGGGCCAACTGCTTCAGCGGATCCGTCTTCAAGGCCAACTCCAACTTGCGCAAGACCATCCTCGGTACTTCCCTCCAGATGATGCAACAGTGGACCGGTGTCAACTTCATCTTCTACTACTCGACTCCCTTCCTCCAGTCTACTGGTGCCATCAGCAACACCTTCTTGATCTCCCTCGTCTTCACCCTCGTCAACGTCTGCTCCACCCCCTTGTCCTTCTGGACTGTCGAACGCTTCGGTCGCCGCACCATCCTTCTCTGGGGTGCCGCTGGTATGACCGTCTGCCAGTTCCTCGTCGCCATCATCGGTGTCACTGTCGGTTTCAACCACACCCACCCCGACCCCGCCGATGCCACCAAGAGCATTGCCAACAACATTCCCGCCGTCAACGCCCAGATCGCCTTCATCGCCATCTTCATCTTCTGTTTCGCCTCCACCTGGGGACCCGGTGCCTGGATTCTTATCGGTGAGGTCTTCCCTCTGCCTATCCGCTCCCGCGGTGTTGCTCTGTCCACTGCTTCCAACTGGCTCTGGAACACCATCATTGCCGTCATCACCCCCTACATGGTCGGTGAGAAGCGTGGCAACCTCAAGTCTTCCGTCTTCTTCGTCTGGGGTGGTCTCTGCACCAGCGCCCTGGTTTACACCTACTTCCTGGTTCCCGAGACCAAGGGTCTGTCCCTGGAGCAGGTTGACAAGATGATGGAGGAGACCACTCCCCGCACTTCCGCCAAGTGGAAGCCCCATGAGACCTTCGCCTCCCAGGTCGCCCGCAACGGCGTCCTCGACAAGGTCCACGTCGACAACATTGAGCGTCGCACTTCCAACGTCTAAGTGCGCGTCTATCTTAATGTCCATTTTCAATTCTATCTATACCCCTAGTCTACTACCCGTCTTACCGGGTGAATAACCTGGAGGCATCTCTGAAGCTGGGTCCGATTTGGACACATCTTAACAATTTGTAATGCGAAATGTTGATGTGGAATGCATGGCGCGTGGGGGGATAACTTAGTCGTCACGGTTGTGACTAGTCATACCACCGCTCAAAGATAACTGTTAATACAACTAAAAAGTTGAAAATGAAATACTATACATCTTGCCTCACCTCTCTAAGTGAATGTGTACATCGCAGTCCAATTTGTCCGCGGAAGACAACCTCGGGAGCAACGTAAACAAAACACAACAAAACAAGATGACATGTGCATCAATCATGCACCTTGCTGGGTACCTTTTCCGGCACCACTTGTGGCACTACGTCGGACTGAGGCTTCGGCAAATCGTGGTCTTGTCTGCACTGGGGCAAGTTGAGCGGGGCATCAGATCTCTTGGCTGCATTCTGCAGGGACGGGGCTCCCGAACTGCAAACTACCTTACATTATCCGTACGTAGTACATACTACGTACACTTTTGGGCGTCGAGGTTCACGAATACTGTATCCCGGGGGTGGATATTGTAAGGGCGATATAGGATGCTCTCCTCAGGTGTATATAACTGCAATGTATTGCTAGCAGCTAAGTTCTCCCGAGGGACGATATTGCGAATTGACTCCATTGTCATCTCTTGATACTTTCGTCCGAGGTTAAGACGAAGAATGTCGTATTATGCCTTCGATGGCCTTGTTCACGCCGTATCTTTGAATCGAGTTTGCGATGGTAATGGGGCGCACCTTTTGGGTCTCGGCGAGTATTCGTACGTGATTTCTTCCCGGAGACGGGGAGACGGGTCGTACCTACTTTACACAGGAGAGATTTCTTTCGAGGCACACGTCTAATAGCCGGACTGTGTCCGAGGCTGAGATTTACCCTTAGGGGTACGTATCTATAGAACCCTAGGCCACTAGGCCAAACCACCAGTTGACGCCGATAGGAATCGAACCGACTTGGTAGGCCTGCCGCAAAGGTTACCACAACCACACCCCTTACATGGAGACTCACGAAGCCGCCTTCTGCTGCACCCTGTGAAAGAGCCGCTGGAGCGTCTCCCGCATCCGCTCGAGGTCATGCGCCTCTTTGCCCCATCGCCCGAGAACTCTCAACGCAAGCCGTACGAGAGAAGCCCAATTTGAGGGCGGTTTAACAGGACAATTCTCTGCCCCCACGACGGCTGCGAGGGTCATTACGGCGCAGGAGAATGCGCGGCGGGCAACGAACCAGCTTCCGCCGTGGCGGTGGTGGTGCGCCGTTTTGACGATCATGGCGGCGCAGGTGTCGACGGCTTTTTGAGCGAGGTGGATTACGCGCGAGTTCGTCGGATAGTCTTCACTTTGAACATGAGTCGGTAGACGCGGGTCATCTCGGCCCTGGCTCCGGCCACGGGCTCCGTGGAGGGCGCAGTAGAGGAGCGGGCGGAGGGTCGATTCGCGCCATCCTTGGAAGCATCCTTGGAGGTAGAAGGCGAGTTCGTTGTCCGGGTAGTGGTGTTCGGTGAATTGGATTAGGGGTGGGAGATGGGAGTGTCTGGGAGGCGTGTAAGTTTAACGTTTGAATGGGTGGGTGGTGCGTGTGACTTGAGGGCTGCTGATTTTCTCGGAGTTTTATTCGCGCTGCTTCAAGTCCGCCAAGTCTGGGGGATGCAAGCTGGGGAAAAGGACAGGTACGGGCAGTATGGACAGAGGGGTAGAAGCCACTCACAATTGCGAAATCTCCTTTTCAAACTCGTCATATTGTCGGACTAATAACCCCTCGTTCCTCAGCCAGTACGCCTCACCTTTGCGGTACAGCACAGACATTGTGTTTTTGATCGTTCGTCGGAGGGAGATCTCGGCGAGGTAGTAGAGCCAGCTGCGTTCTTCTTCCAGGCGTTGTTGAGGATCTGGGATCGGGGACCAGGTGTACTCTGACGGGCTGGCGGATGTCTCGTTGACGCTGGTGGTGGTAGTGATGGTCCTCGTTGTGGAGAGCGTCGAGGGAGGCGCCGGGAAGGAGTCCGGGTAGGTGAAGTCCTCGAGACCGCTTGGTCGGAGACCCAAAGTCGGGAGGATCTCGCTACTTTAGTCAGTGAAACCGGGTCCAAGGTATGGTAGTGCAAAGAAGATTGAGACGACTCACTTCTCCGCCTTGAAGCAAGACCAAAACACGCGCTGCTCAAGAGGCTGCGTCGGTTCCTCCCATCCGCTAGCCTCTTTCCATGGCCGGCGTCCTCTTCGGAGCAAGTGAGTCTGCAAGCGCGTCGAGGCCTGCTGGATGTAGAAGCAGGCTCGCATCGGCCGGAGGCAGCACTTTTCGTACATGGAGGCCAGGAAGAGGCATTGGATGTCCAGGATCGAGGGGCCTAAGAGGCCGATGCGTTTGGATGCTGCGAGGTAGTACGCTTCTGCGGTGTCGCAGTCTTGTGGTTCTAGTATTGGTGGCAAGGGAATGTCTGCTACACCGGTCTGGGTGTCGAATGTGGATTCTTGCGGAGGGATCCAAGGGGTTGTCAGACTTGCTAGGGCACAGGCGAGGAGCTGTTCGTTGAGGTTAATTGATGGGGTTTGGGGGGAATGGAGTGGCTGATGGAGGACTCTTACTACGAGACATGAGGAAGCATCCCATTTGATGCCGTGTTCAGTTGTCTGTTTGGCATAGGCTATCAGTTCGTGGCCCTCGAGGATTGGGTTTCGGGGGTGGACATGAGTAAGAAACTTTCGGCAAAGGGGGACGAATGCATCTTCTTGGATGCCTGGCCCGTTGATCATGGAGGGGTCGTTGGGCTGATTCAGGCCATCGTCGGTCATATCAGTACCGAATTCGAGAATGAAGGATTCTATTCGAGAGTCCTCTTCTGATATAATGCCTTCGAAGATGGGCTACCGGAGCATGGACTCGCAACGAAGGGCCGAGTACAGCGTGCGGGAAGTTTCTCCGCGGCGCTGGTCATTGTCGTCCATAAAGTGACCGTAGGTATCGCTGTCATTGTCATTCTGTTGACGCCTACTTCCATCTGTTGGGTGGATTTCAGCGTGAGGTGCCGCAGTCATTACCACTGATGCAGGCTGGTCTCTCAAAGGACTTCTTGGCCTCTGCAGCAAATGCTTGATTTCATCCAGTCTTTCCAAGATGACCGAGCTCGCGATACCTTCATCCTGGGATTTGGCAGCATGAGACACTCTGTCTCCTTCTTCTTCCTCTTCGTCGCCGTAGACGCAGGTCGCATGGTGATGTCGACAGAATCCACACACGGGACGGACGTTGTCGCACTTCGTCTTGCGAAGACGACAGAACTGGCATGCTGTCGCAGCGCGTTTCCTCCGGGTGAGATGGGTTGCTGATGCTGTTAGACGCCGTTTCTTATTAGATGGACCCCATCTAGATGGTTGGTCCTCCTGCGCCGGTGATCTGGACCCCGATGAAGGAGAAGGGGCTGCGACTGCATGCTGGGATGCTTGTATAGCTGGAGGTGCATCTGTCACTGTTGGCGGTGTACTGTGACGTTGGCGTATGCGTTGCGAGATTGCGTTGTCGTTGCTGATAAGGTCAGGGACGCGCATGTCTGCGTGCGTCAGCCCCGGGCCGGAAGGGGTTCGGAGCTGTGGTGGATGCTCCGGGGAAAGTACCTACCTTCCCTGAGGGCTTGGTGGACGTTCCGGATTTTGGTCCTCCGAGTGGAGAACCGAGGTACGGAGGGAAGAGGGGCCCATCTATCACGACATCGGCACCCGCAGTCCTTCCATTCCCCATTGTTTAACCCCAGTTTCTTTTCTCTTATTCCCGCCACCAGACATGTCCTTTCCTAAGCTGGCGATTTTTTGCACTCCTAAGTTGGACCCGCTCCCCCGGGACGGGGGATGCAATGACACAGGTCAGCAGTGCATATTCGGGTCAATACCAATTCGATGGTGTCCAATGAGTGGCTATCTGAATCGAATTGGCCTGCCTCACTGAGCATAGTGCAGCAATCACTCACTCACCATGGCGTACAAGGTGTCACAAGTCGAAAGTTCCTTCCGAGGCCTGATATACTTGGCTTATCCGCCGTCGCCTTGATTTTTCTGGAATTTTGATGGTATTGACTTTGATGTATTCTCAAAAGTTTAGCCATCATGGCAACTAACAACAGTTGTCTTTTGGGCAGCGATAACCAATTCGGCCCTCGCATCGACTACAACTGCCGCAACTTTGACTTCACTCTTCTCTTTGAAGATGCCATCTTTCTTATTATTCCCTCAGTAGTGTTTCTCCTACTCATTCCATTGCGCATATTCTCCATTGCCCGGACGCCGGTGAAAGTAGCGACTTACAAGCTTGACTTGTGGAAATTGGTGAGCCGCCCAACCTCGAATGATACTTATCTCATCGAGATCTCACTGACAATGACTGAAAATGTAGGCTCTTTTGAGCGTCTTGACTGTACTTCACCTTAGCTTCGTCATTATTGATGCCAAGTCGCTAGCTCTCCGCACATCGGCCTCACTGGCTGCGGGAATTCTCAACTTCATCGCCGTTTTGGCCGCAGCTTTCCACTCATTTCTGGAAGATCAACGCTCCACTCGTCCCTCCGACTTGCTCATACTCTATTTCTCAGCATCTGCCATACTATCGCTACCACGCCTGAGAACGCTATGGCTTATCACAGGCTCCGGAGCGCTCAAGGGTCTTTGGACTGCTATCGTCGCTGTCACGATCCTAGTCGTTCTTCTGGAGTCCATCGGCAAGAAACGATTCTTGCAGACAACGTACCAATCCCTCACGAAAGAAGAAGAGACTGGCTTTTGGGGTCGCAGCTTCTTCACTTGGCTCATGCCCTTCTTTTGTCTCGGGTACTCGCGGGTCATTCACATCCGAGATATGCCAGAAGTCGATAAAGACTTGACTGGGGATAGAGCAGGAGCAAGCCTCGAATCAGCGTGGTTGAAGCGAAAAGGGGAGAAGTGCCATGCATTGATTCGCTCCGGCTTTTACGCCTACCGCGGACCTCTAGTCGCCGGCGTCATAACGCGTCTCTTCCTCACTGCTTTTACATTTTGCCAGCCCTTCCTCATCACGGCCACATTGAGCTACATGCAGACAACCAAGACGCCACAGTCTGAGAGATACGGACAAGCACTCGTGGGAGCATACGTGCTTACGTACCTCGGCCTGGCAGTCTCGCGAGCAGCGTTTTCCCGCCATCAGTTTCGCTTCACTACGATGCTCCGAGCAGGACTAATGTCTTTGATCTTCAAGCAGACCCTCGCTCTCAAAGCGGACGACTTGAAAGACAGCGCTGCGGTTACTTTGATGGGCACAGATATCGAACGCATCGTACTCACGTTCAATAACCTTCATCAGATTTGGGCGGCGATTCTTGAGGTTAGCATTGCCATATTCCTCCTGCAACGCCAGATAGCCTCTGCATCTGTAGTACCAGTCGTCATTTCTATCGGTAGGTTACCCAAGGCCTGCTTTGCATCGATCCAAGATGCTGATGAATATGTCCCAAGTATGCGCTTTTGGCGTTATCCCCGTCTCCAAAACCATTGGAAGGGCACAGACGGCCTGGATTGAACGTTTGCAGAAGAGAGTCGCCGTCACGGCCTCCATGCTGGGAGATATGAAGGCGATCAAGATGCTTGGTCTCTCGGGCGTGTTGTCAACCACTATCACCGAGCTGCGACGTGTTGAATTGAAGACCTCGGAGAAATTCCGCAAACTGATCCTCTCTCAGATCCTCGTTTGTGAGTTTCTAAGTGTTCCTGTTCTCCTTCATGGCTAACTTTCCCCAGCAAACCTTCCCGTCGAGTTTGCTCCGTTCGCGACATTTGTCATCTACAGTATCATTGCAGTCATCACCAAAGATCAAACACTGACGACGACGAACGCCTTTACTGCACTGTCTCTCATCGGTCTTTTGACAGAACCACTCCTGATGTTCTGCCAATTCGTGCCTAACATTGTACAAGGGGTGGCTTGCTTCAAGCGCATCGAGATGTTCTGCCTCAAGGGATGCGAATCATCATTGCCCGAACAACCAATACCTCCGTCGCGCTCATCAGACACCACCCTGAACAGGGCAAGCATCGAGCTGGCAGATCATTCAACTCCCAAAACATCTGATCGAACCATTGCCTCATTCTGCAACGCAAAGATCTCCTGGTCGCCTGATTCCGACATAGTCTTTAAGGACCTTTCCTTGACAATCAAGCGAGGAATCACCATGATAGTCGGCCCTGTTGGGTGCGGAAAGTCGTGCCTTATGGAGAGTATTCTCGGAGAAACATCACATAATGTTGGGACCTGAGAGTGCATGACTCACGGAACCGCCTACTGCGCGCAAACTCCGTGGATGATGAACGACACTTTGAGACGAAACATCACTGGCGGCTTAGAGCATGATCCAAAATGGTTCGACCAAGTTTTGTGGCTCTGCTCCTTGACTGAAGATGTCAAGAACATGCCTGAAGGAGAGCTGTACAAAATTGGTAGTAACGGGGTCGGCTTGAGTGGAGGGCAACGGCAGCGTGTGGTGAGTTGGCAACCCCTTTTCTCGATAGAAAAAGGTGCGGCGACTTCTAAAACTAACATTTGCGCAAGGCAGTCGCTCGCGCCGTCTACTCTAGACACCGAGTTATGGTACTAGATGACGTCTTCAGCGGCCTCGATTCCAAAAGTATTAGCCAAATCTCGAGTCGCCTCTTCAGCAAAGAGGGCCACTTTCGCCGGAATGAGATCTCCATCATTCTTGCGACTCACACCCGTAAGTTCGCTCTCGAGGCGAAGATGGCTATAGCTGGGAAATTTCTAACCAATAGCGCAAAGGTTCACTTCTTCGATATGCAGATGAGCTGATCGTTCTCACTGAGGGCCAAGTCCTGAGCCAGGGTTCGTATGAACATATCCTTGCTAGCTCATCTGACTTGATTGCGAAATCGAAATTAGAAGATGACGATAATTCTTCACGTGGTGAGGAGTCGGAGCAAGCTGAGGGTTCTGTGAAATCCACACAAATCCAAAGGACCCTGGATGCCGAGGAAGATAGGCTGCGTCAGAACGGCTCATGGTCCGTTTACAAATACTACTTCGAGCGTGCTGGCTGGATAGTGGTTGGCTCATTCGTCTTCGCCACTTTTACCGAGGCATTCTGCAGTGGATTTACAAGTAAGCTCACAGAGACCCATATTCATTGCTCATCTCACACTGAACTATTGCCTAGATATCTGGTTTCAATGGTGGGTGGAAGCCAACGAAAAACGGCCAAATGACAACCTCGGCATGTATCTTGGGGTATATGCTCTCTTATTTGCAATGGCATGTCTTGGACTTTCTGTGGAATGCTGGTAAGATTTACACCAGCTCTCAATGTCGAGATTCGGTGCCGCTGACGACACCAGGCTGCTCTTCATACGGATCATAAGCGCGACAGCCATGAGTTTACATGGTGATCTACTGCACACAAGCTTGAGGTAGCACGAGGAAACCTCCCGCATTTCACTGTCACGCATGCTAATCCTCGCTCAGAGCACCACTGAGCTTCTTTCAGTCAACCGATACTGGCTCCATCACCAATAGGTAGGTGTGCTTTTCGGTCGTGTCTTAATAATGTGGTACAGGATTGACCAACTCGTGATCTAGATTTAGCCAGGATCTCAACCTAGTGGATGTTACTCTTCCATCGAATGCTATCAACTTCGCCTCAAGTGAGATTTTTCTTCTCAACACTAATCTGTCTGCGGGTGAGCTGCGCTAACTGCAAAAGATGCTTGCGCTTGCATTTTCAAGCTCATCATACTTTGTGTCATGGGCAAGTATCTGGCGACGTCAGTGCCTCTCTTAGTAGGAGTGCTCTTCTTCGTTCAGCGATACTATCTCCGCACCTCCCGTCAAGTCCGTCTCCTCGACATCGAAGCCAAGGCTCCGATCTACACCCATTTTCTTGAAACACTGAAGGGCGTTGCAACCATCCGTGCTTACAGATGGCAAGAGAACTTTGAGGAGCAGGCGACGAAGCTACTCAACATCTCACAGAAGCCCCACTACATGCTAGCATGTATCCGACAATGGCTCGCCCTGATTCTGGACCTCGTCGTTGGCGCCCTAGCGCTGATCATTGTGGCCATGGCGATATCCATCACCGAAAAGTTTTCTCCTGGTGCGATTGGTGTGTCAATGGTTCTAGTCTTGGGTTTCAACAACTCTCTTGCGACTACGATCAAGAATTGGACTGCATTGGAGACGTCTATCCGTGCTGTTGCCAGAATAAGAGAGTTTGCTCAGACAACGCCTTCTGAAGAGCGCGATTTGGGAAGCTCTGGTATCCCTCCTGAAAGATGGCCATTGCAGGGACGTATCGACTTTGAGAATGTCACTGCGAGGTACACAAGAGATGGTGACGCAACGCTCAAGAACTTGACACTTTCAATATCATCTGGTCAAAAGATCGCAGTTTGTGGGCCGTCAGGCAGCGGCAAGACATCCTTCGTTCTCTCGCTACTTCAGATGATTGAAGTCACCGACGGGAAGATCCTCATCGACGGCATCGATCTTGAAGGCTTAGAGAGATCAGAAGTACGTTCACGGATCAATTTCATACCCCAGGAGCCATTCTTCATTCCTGGCAGCGTTCGATTCAATCTCGATCCACACGCCCGCGAAAGCAGCGAGACCATCAAAGTAGCGCTCGACAAGGTTGGGCTTCTTGGGAAGATCGGTATGGCAGGTGGTCTGGATAGCGAGCTAGACGCCGATGGCTTCTCGGCAGGGGAAAGACAATTGCTGGCGTTGACGCGTGCGCTGATCGAAAAGAGTCAGATTTTGATCTTAGATGAAGCTACAAGCAGGTATGGAGTTTTCCTCAACAACCCATTACCGTTAGTAAACTAACACGGGCTCAGCGTGGACCAAGACACCGAAGACAAGATGCAGCGAATCATTGAAGAGGAGTTCTCAGACCAAACTGTCGTATCTGTCACACACCGTCTGAGATTCATAGAGAAGTATGACCGAGTACTTCTCTTGAAGCAGGGAGAAGTGGTAGAATGGAACACTCCCAATGCCTTACTAGCCACTGAGTCTGAGTTTAAGAAGTTGTTTGCAGCTACGCAAACTTCACGTTGAGCATTGTAGAATATGAGGCAGTTTTAGATGGTCGCGGACTTAATGCATTTGACTTGAAGTTTCATGATGAGAGACTGAGAGGCAAATGAGCGGTTCTGATTCGATGCCCCTACGTGTAAAAGATAGAGCCATAGCAAGGTGTTAAGGTTAAGGAGCGTTCCCCAGTTGCTAAACTTTCCATACCCACACTGTCGGCAGGTAGTATTCCAGATCACTACTCGTCATTCTGCTCGTCCAAGTCCTTGATCATCTGATCAGCAGCAGCAAGCGCAAAGGCGGCTGCCGTCAGCGTCGGGTTGCAGGCATTCTGCGTAGGAATGATACCGCAGCCGCCGAGGACCAGGTTCTTCTGGCCCCAGACTCTGCCAAAACGATCCACCACGCTTTCTTTCTTCGATTCCTCGAGGCTCTTCTTATCATGGCCAGCTCGGTAGGTGCCGCAGATGTGAAGGGCGGATCCGGGTGCGAGGTACTTGGGCTCGGCGCCGGGTAGGAAGCCGCCGAGGTTCCTGGCAACATCGACCATGCTGGAGGGTTGGATTTATCAGTAAAGAGTAATGGATAGGGTTCAGGCTTGATGGCTTACTCAGTGATCATTTCAGAGCAGCGCTTGGCATCACTGTCGTTGATCGTGTAGTGGAATGTTGGCTGTACGATGCAGTTGATCAGTCTCTAAGACAATTGTGAAGTCTCGAAGTAAAGGAAGCGCACTCAAGCTTACCTGTGGCATCCCGAACTGGTCCTTGACATCCGTCGAGAACTCAACGTAGTTGTCCTTGCTAGGCTCGGTGTATCCGAACCAGCGAAGATCAACCACGAGGCGCTGATCGATGGATGATGGGACTTCTCCGTACCCAAATGCATCGCGATGGATCTGAGTGTGCCATCGGTGCTTATTGGTCAATGGGAAGTAGACCTGAGGATCGGGATCGTTGAAGGGGATGGGAAGTGGGTCGTTGGGAAACTTGGACTTGTGCTCGTTGACTGCAGTTTCCCAGCCAAGCCCGTGTGAATCGCTGGCAATATCTAGCACGTGAGTCTTCTTCAGTACAATCTGGCAAAAGGCCATTGGCTGCTCCGTTAAGTAACGGCCCTATTGAAATTGGTTGTTAGTACCGCGTACGCAGCTACGAAGGGGGAAATCTCACCAACGCGGGAAGGGTGTCTTTGAGACCACCCGAGTTCCACAGGATACCCGGGGTCAAGACAGCTCCTGCGCAAATGATGTACTTCTTGGCTTGAATGAGATACTTCTCAGCACCAAGAAGGTTTTCTACTTCAGCTGCTTCAACTTCACCAGAGGCCTGGTTCACGATCAGTCTGACACACTGAGAGTTGGCGCGCAACTCGAAAGTGTCGTGCTCCTTGCTAGGATCAGAGAGCTCGTCGCCAAGGATCGTAGCAGTACACCCCCATTCGACAAACTCCTCATTCTTAGCACTCCTCTTACCAGAGAGAGGCATGCTCAGAACCTCGCGTCCCTTCTTCTCGTAGGCTGCCGTCAAGACAGACTTGACGAGACCTCCGCGGATGGACTTGTCAAAGAGCGTCCTGTCGGTCCAGAAGAGCTTTTCAGCTCGGGTGTAAAGATCGTTCCATTCGCTATCGGAGAAGAGATCGGATCGCTCGATGTCCTTATGTTCACGAGGCGTACAGCAAGTCCAGTGGCCACCCATCCCGCCGACGAGGCGCGTGGCTGCCGCGGCGGGGAGATTGTCCACGGCCTTTTGGTTCGGATTCTGCCCATTCTTGATGAAGGGGGTCCTTGGGGATTGGAAGTCAGCTAAGAATAATCTAACAGTGGGATGTAAAAGGGAAACCCTACGAACTGCCCCAAGAAATCGGCTCGACGTATGGATCGGCTACGTTGGTTGGAATGGATAGAAGACTCAGCTCTCCCTAGATGAAACTTTAGCGCCATGGGCCAAGCACCTCAACCCCAGGAGAAGTCTTTACTTTGACGGTGCTAAACGAACATGAAGTCAGCAAAACCTCCGCCTAAATAAACCCACAGTGACACGTACTTGGTGAAAAGACTGATGTCTCGCTGGACCGCCACACTGTTCTTCTTGTGGTCTCCAATCCGCTTGGTTTCTCTGTGACGAGTGTGAGAAATGTGATTGATTGATCCGAGGAGTCATATGCTCCATAGAGACCTACTGATTCCCGACATCTATCATGAGAACCTTCCGCCCATTCTCGACTAGCGTGCGAGAAAACACCGCGCCGATCGGACCCGAGCCAACGACGAGAACGTCGGCTTCTTCCAAGCGGATCCCCTCATAGCCCTGGATCTTGACTGGAGAGACTCTCATGATAGCTGCCTAATAGCTGCCTGTTGATGCGTATTCTTTCGGATAGTGGTGATGGTGTCATAGGTTCAAAAGAGATGCGGAGGGAACTCGATGGAGGACAAAGATTATCCCTATTTATAATGAAAAGAGCCGAGTGTAACTTGTCCCCCTATGAGATAGCTTCAGTATCATGATTGATCCTTCTTTCCTGTCATTACCGGCATCACTGAGGAGGCAGACTCGACAGAATCAGCACTGGCTAGGTCAGTCCATGAGAGGGGTAAGACCCAACATGAATGGCCTGATTTTCTCAACGAGTTTAAGTCACTCCCGTTGCTCAACGATTATTCAAGAGTGCTGTGCGTTTAGAAAAGTTCCACAAAGAGCACATACGGGAAGACGGAAGGCTAGTAGCATTTGAGTTATATTCAACAAGCCCTCCTTACGGATGACATCCTGCTATTGGACGGACTACTTAAACATAGCTGATCTGCCGTCTAGCGTCCTCGTGGTGATTATTGTGCCCTCTTTCAGAGATCACAGACTGCACAATTCCGTCATACGACAAGGCTATATGATAGTTGTGAATCTAGGTGTTCATCCCGTCGGACGTAACACTAATATCACGCGTAACCTCAGTTACGCTCGCCTGCCTGCTGGACATGCCTCCCACCTGCCAGGGTGTGTGCAAACTTGTCAAGTACTTCATGAATATACATAAGCTGGAGCATGACTTCAACCAAGTAAGGAATGAGTACAGCAGCAGGTATACTCTGGTTGATGAGGTTTCCCTGGCATACCTTAGTCGCACAGCATGCCAAGTCCCGCTCTCATGTCACATGTGGCGTTATGGGCTTGCATATGGCTAGTCTAGTAGTTCTGTCATCTTGGCTGGCAGCGATGTCAAGCTACGATCCTAACACTTCTCAATTGCGTGGTCGATTTCCATATCGTCAGGACTCGGTGCAGGTGACGAGCCAGTCTACCCAAAAAGATTAACGGCGTGAGCATCTACATGCACCATGAACCATGTTGCGATTACATTACACAAGGTACCCTGTCTTGGTTAAGTAAATCACTCAGCGGTTCTATCCATGCCTAGAATCAGTTCCTTCCATCTTTATTTAATTCAAAAGTAGTACACCAGTGCTGGAGAGGCCCATTGACTCCAACTTTCAAGAGTGCGGTTGACTCGCGATCTGGAGATATTGAGTCTCACCAGAACACACATTAGGCGGGACCTTCCTTACCGTTTCTTTTGATCATGTTTTCACAAGACCTAAGAACCTTATTGGTAGATCTTCCGAAGATGCTTGCGCATGCGCACTGTTTGTCAGTGAGGGATCTGCAACTGTCGCAAACATTGCGAGGCACCATGCTTCTTCCCGGCCGACGGGCCGTTCCTAGCCGTTCAAAGGTGTACAGGCGCTTGTGGATCCGAACTCCTCGACTGCCGGTCTGAAAGCATTGTGACGTTAATCTTTGCTTTTTGGACTTGATGCACGCTTACGGGCTTACATGTCAAACAGCAGACATTGTAATGCCGGGCTGCTCATATGCAGGTAAGTTGAGTCCGTAACTGACTTAGCGGCCGTTGTCTCAACTCAGCTCCTCGTCCATAGTTGCGACTAAGTGGTGTAGGTCTCAACTTGGCCTCTCGTCCCGCAATTCAGCGGTGTACAACGTAAGGTATCAAAACGGGCGGTCGGAAGGCAACACCCGGCTGATCCATGCTCCGGAACGTGAGGGTCGGACAAGTTATGGGTCAATATGGTGCGGGGTAGATCGTCCATCGACTGCATTGCTTGGCTGACCACCGAAGGGGGGAGGTTGATGTCATTCCTCATAGGCCAATCATACTTGGCTCGAGACACTCATAACTCTTAACTACTATCAATTAACAAAAATTCAATTTACTCGCGAATAAATTCATGAATTTTCTTCATCGAAACTCCTTTGAACATGGCACGGAAAATTAGACTTGGAATCCTCACCCCCTCTTCCAACACTAGCCTCGAGCCGCTCACTCAAGCCATTATTTCCGGGCTTCCGGACGTCACAGTTCACTTTTCTCGTTTTCGGGTTCTTAAGATCAGCCTAGATAACGATGGACTTGGCCAGTTCCAGACCGATAATCTCATCTCAGCCGCGCAACTTTTGGCCGATGCTGAGGTTGACATGATCGGTTGGAGCGGTACTTCATCAGGTTGGCTGGGGTTCGAAGCTGATGAAAGGCTATGCGCGGATATCACTGCGGCAACAACCATTCCCGCCACGACTTCCGTTCTTGCATTGAACAAGGCCTTGCTGGAGTTTGGCATCAAGGATTTTGGCTTGGTCACCCCTTACACAGATGATGTCCAAGAAGCCATCACCCGAAATTATTCGCGTGCCGGAGTGAATTGCCAAAAAGAACGACATCTAGGCCTTTCAGTGAACTCGTCTTTTGGCCGCGTCGAAGAAACGACGCTAGATGGCCTTGTGAGTGCAGTGGTGGCTCAGAGACCTGAGACAGTAACCATATTCTGCACAAACTTGAGAGCAGCCCAGAGAGTGGCTTTCTGGGAGGACAATCATAGCCTCTTGATACTCGATACCGTTATCACAGTTATCTGGGATATGTTGCGAGAATGCAAGGTCGATATGAAACCCTTGGGCGATTGGGGCAAATTATTCTCAAGGCAGTAAAAGCTAGCCACTTTGTTACGAGCAGGTCAAGGCAACCAACTGTGGCACAAAGCAAAAGCTTCGATAATGATGACTCCGCACCATTTTCCCTTGTTCTGCATTATATAGCCACGCGCCCACAGTGACAAGTTGCGGCGGGCGTAACACCTACCCCGCAAGCTTACGGCGGTTACGATACGCCATATATATATAGGATAAGGGGACACGAGGCACCCTCTCACGGAACGGAAGAACTATGGTATAAATCACGTAATAATAAGATAAGGATCATTTAGGATCAATATAATCTAACACGACTTAGGGGCTAAACGATCATTCTGAATCAGAATGATCCAAGACGACCTAAGGAACAAAGGATATATTCAGGATTAGGACTTATATATAAGGATAGACTTTCTATAGCTCTTCAGCAATTAACTTCGTATCAGGATTAACATCCGCTTTCAGCTATCACCTTGACAAGACTACGATTGATCACCGAAGCCTTACCTTACCTTACGATTGACAGACATAATTTCCTTGAAGCTATCCCTGACTACGAATACTGTTACCAGTTCCGCAGCCTCAACTTCTGCAAACATACCTCACTACGACTAGCTGGCCGTAACAAATGAGCGCTTACCCGATTAGAGGGACTGATTATTGATAAAGGATATGTTCAGGACTAGGACTTGTATATAGGATAGACTTGAGCCGGACTCTAGTGTTACGGCCAGCTAGTCGTAGGGGTAGTTTGCAGAAGTTGAGGTTGCGGAACTGGTAACAGTAATCGTAGTCGTGGAATATTTTCAAGGAAACTATGTCTGTCAATCGTAAGGTAAGGTAAGGCTTCGGTGATCAATCGTAGTCTTGTCAAGGTGATAGCTGAAAGCGGATGTTAATCCTGATACGAAGTTAATTGCTGAAGAGCTATGGAAAGTCTGTCCTAGAGTCCGGCTCGAGTCCATCCTATATACAAGTCTTGATTCTGAACATATCCTTTATCCGTATATTTACCGTATGGATTCCGTATTCTGAACATACAGGGTCCGTACCTCAAAGGGACGGATTCCGTATTCTTGGTATACGGCTTTCTTTATCTTATTATTATGTGACTTGCTCTATAGTTCTTCCGTTCCGTAGGGTGACGTATGTGTTCCCATAGTTCGTGCACTTATGGTGTGCCGTAGTCGCCGTGGTCCTGCGGGGCAGGCCCTGGACTTGGTCGTGCATGTTGGGTCGTAAAATCTAGGACAGACTTCCTATAGCTTCTTTAGCAATTAACTTCGTATTAGATCTTATGATCGCTTTCAGCTATCTCCCCTAAGAACCTCTTTGACAAGACTACGATTGATTACCGAAACCTTCCCTACCTTACGATTTATAGATAACGTGAATGATAAGCGAGTGAGACAGACAAGCGAGTGAGACACAAAACTGCGCCGATGATGCTTCAACACAAATGGAGACGTTTCTTCCACAACACATCATGGCATCCAGAAGTAATGAGTCAGGCATACAGCTGGCCCTTCAAGCTATCAGAATCAATCCAGAGCTTAGTGCACGGGCTGCAGCTACGATCTACTCGGTCAGCCATGCAACATTGAGTCGACGATTGAAGGGCTCTACATCTCGAAGCGACAGGATACCGAACTCGAGGAATCTTACTTTGCTAGAGGAGCAGACGTTAGTTAATCACATTCTCGATCTAGATGCCCGATCATTCCCTCCCCGGATCCGTGGTGTGGAAGAAATGGCTGATCGACTGCTTGCTGATCGCGACGCGCCTCCGGTTGGGAAGCGCTGGGCCTTAAACTTCGTCAAACGACAACCACAATTGCGGACGCGGTTTTTTCGGAGGTACGACTACAAGAGGGCCCAATGCGAGGATGCAGAGGCTATTCGCGGCTGGTTCGCTCTTGTGAAGAACACAATCGCGAAGTATGGTATCAATGAGTTTGATATCTACAACTTTGATGAGACTGGCTTTATGATGGGCCAGATTGCATCTGGCATGGTTGTCACAAGTACTGAAAGGCGTTCAAACACAAAAATGGCGCAGCCTGGTAATCGAGAATGGGTTACAGTGATTCAAGCCATCAACTCGCAAGGCTATAACGTCCCGCCGTACATCATCGTTGCAGGCCAATATCACCTCTCAACCTGGTATACAGAGTCAGGTTTCCCGGACGACTGGGTCATTGCGACGTCAGAAAACGGATGGACAACAAATGAAAGAGGCCTAGATTGGATCCAGCACTATGATCGTCATACGAAACCACGTTTGAGAGGCCAATATCGCCTCCTCGTCGTCGACGGGCACGAAAGTCACCACTCAACAGACTTTGAGATAT